GTATCACCGTCAAATCGTTTAGTAACCCGACATCGACCAACCGATCATCAAATGTGGATCATGGTGCAAGGCGATGGTGACCATGACCTTTGTATGGACGGTTCATACGCTGAAGCAACAGTGATGTTTACCTCTACAGACGTCTCGGTCGTCGAAGCGACAGTGAACCTGCACCGCAGACAATTGGGTCGAAGTATAAGGTGATAGAGCTGGTGACCACTACGCAGGCTGTTGATGTGCCCACATGAATGTGATGATAGCCTCCACACAGGTGGATCATTTGCCAATGCGGCGGTGTTAGTGTATGCCCACAGCGGGGTCGTGCTCCAATGCGATGGAAGTAAGGACCTTATCACAAACGGATCATAAGCCAATACGGTGGTGTAGTATACACCACAGTCGCTCTGAGATGCCGAATGTGATGGCTATGACCATCACTGTCGATAGCTTACTGCTGAGGCCGAAATTGGACTGCAATGGGGGTTATGACGTGGCTGTGAAAGGTCTGGATCTAGTAGTGTATAAGCTGAAGTTGGTGAAGCCCCTCCCACCCGAAGTGTTTGCCAGGGGCGATGTTGGGGGAGCCCTTGATTTATATGGGCCAAGTCTCCCCTAGAAAAGGGCCAACTAGTAGCCAAAGTAGTGTCATGTGAAATCTAACCCCACTAAGGGGCCACATGTAAATAGTCATTGGTTATATAAGTGCCCCAAGGGCATGAAGGGAAGCGAACTCACCTCCCACTCATTTCCACTTGTTGATAACGCCAGTGTGTCCCCTCTCCAAAGCCTAGCTCTCTCCATCCTCTCTCAACTGTTCAGGCCAACATAATGGACTTAAAAACATATTCTCCCAAATATTGTACATGTGCCGCTGGTTCCAATATAATGGACTTAAAAATATATTCTCCTAGATATTCTACATGTATTTGAGTATTTGTGTTCATAATTTTTTTTCTAGTTAAACATTTATGTGCATAGTTCATTAAGAAATTTTATGTTTTCTATAAAAACGCTAAATGAATAGCTTCTACTATATCCCACTATAGCTTTTTATAGCTTTTGGAGGTCGCCGCTAAATATCATAGCCTACTATTTAAAACATTGGCCGCCAGGGTGATCTCATCAGCATCCTCCGCTCTCTCCATCAGGGCAGATCTCATGAGCTCGTAGTCTCCCTGCGCGTCCGAACTGAACTGAGACGGGGGAGCCATACCCGGTAGAGTCACGTCGACAAAGATGTGGAGAAATTGTTCTGAACCGCTCAGACAGCCGGGTTGCTAAGCCATTGAAATTCGCGGCTATCACCTCCACTACCAAGAGAGAATGAGTGCGGGCATGTTGTAATGCCAAATGGAGTTGCTCCAAGCCCGAGAGCAACCCCGACGGCATAGAAGCCTGGGCTGGTTGCCCCTCGGCTCATGAAGCTTGGCAAAGCAGGCCAAGGAGAGGAGCCTGTCGGAGCTGGCGTGGTACGTTGTGCCGACCCTCTGCACCTCGAGCATGCCGGCGGCCCGGCGAGGCCCTGCAGGCCACCATAGTACCCAGGGCCGACAAGCTGCGCGCCTGCGCCAGAACCTTCACGTCGTATAGAGTCGGCGTCGTGTCCTAAACCCGCTCGAGGAAGTCCGCGTGGTCTAGCGGCAGGGGGCCGGGTCTCTTGAGCATCTTTAGGCTTCATTTGGCAATGAAGAATCAAAACTCACATGAGAAGCAAACCACGTCGGGGTTGGGTGATCCCCGCACAACCACCCGATCCCCTTGGCAGGCTCCCAATCCGATCCCTTTCAATCCCTCCCACGTTTATATATTTGGCTTGGATGATCACTCTGATGTTACTTCGAGTAGCGGAGAAACAAAAAAATATTGTAACAAGCTAGCGCGTTGTCCAAAATTGGAGGATGATTGGAGGTTTTGTAAAGTGTCAGTTAAGGAATCTCATGTGTCTTGTGCGGAGGTGATTGTTGATATTGGTCGGAATGGAAGTGATGAAATTGGAGTTAGAGTTGATTGATTGGGGGACGACCCGGATGTCGATCCTACAGAGAATTTGACCCAGGACCATGTCAGCCAAGAGGTCCCCTCCTGATCAGAAGAGAATGTTGGGTTTGAGGCCAATGGGACTGTACCTATTAGAAGTTTGGCAAATCAGAATTCTAGTGATTTTGGAATGGCAGTTGTGAATAATGACTTCCGTGATGACACATTTGAGGTTGAGGAGGCTGAAGAGGTAGAGGATGAAGTTTATGTTTCATCGGGTGATGAGGGAGACGATGGGCAGGAGGACGAGCCTGGAGTAGCAGAGGGAATGGTAAGAGATGAGGAAGAGTTAGAAGTGGAAGATGATGTGGAACCTCTAGCCAGTGATGGTCTGGATGGGCAAGGTGCTCCTTACCACGGTCCCAATTTTGGTGGTGTTAGGATCCCACCATTGACCACGGAGGAGAGAAGGCAACTTAGAGTTGTTCATGTGAATGTCCGAAATGTGTCTATATTTGAAGACATTAGACAAACAAACAATCTGATATGTGATAACAGTGTTAGGATAGTGGAGCCTGAGGCTGATAGTGACAAGGAATTGATTTCAAATGGCATGGTATTTTATATCCTTGGTGAGCTTAAACACTGGCTAAGAGACTACTCTGTCCATCACCACCGACCATATGATGCTGTGCATTCTTATGCGAAGGTCCGGTACACAGTTTGGTGCCAGAAGGGTTGTGGATGGGGTGTGTGGGCACAGCCTATGATTAGTGATGGAAGTTGATGGAAGATAACAAAGGTTAAGCAACCGCACACTTGTGGTTCAGCAAGGCCCTCTCAGGATCAGTCGCAGTGCACTACCTGTTACCTTGCCAGGCGTATTGTGAGGCTGGTTTATGTTAATCCGAAAATCACCGTTGTAGCCCTGAGGGTCGCAATTGAGGGGTTCACCAATTACCAAGTCTTTTATGGAAAGGCTTGGCGGGTAAAATAGCACGCTATGGCTATGATGTGGGGTGATTGGAAGGAAGCTTACGGTCTAGTACCGAGGATCTTGAATGCAATGGCACATTTCAACCCGGGTTTGCAATGGTCCCCAATCACCACGGGGCGTACAAGAGGCATGACGAGCTAGCAAGATGTAGCCAAGAACAAGTTCAGGAGAAAATAGAGAAGAAAAATAAATTCGATGGCTTGGCCACTCAAAAGTCAGAAAACAAATGATAGCTTGGGCCAGCGCAGAGCCCATTCAGTTTGTCAACCCGTGGAATGAGATAATTTTGGGACTTACAAGGCCGGGTCTCAATAAAATCTTTCACATCCATATCTTGGAAACTGGAACATCAAACATACACTCTTATTCTAGAATTTGATTCTGTTATTCCATACGCTAGCTATAGCATTTATTTATAATAAATGGGTATGAAACTTATCTCCTCTCTTTCCTCTTATTAATTTCTATGCCACCTCGTTACTTTTGCTGATGTGACATTATAATAAATAAATGGTATGAAACTCGCTTGAGACTGGCCTAAGATTTATTCCTCTCTTAATTTCACACCCTTTATCATATTGAAATTTAATCATTATGGTTCATATTCTTCACCAATAAAATGATTAGCGTACATATAACCGTAGCTTAGCTTGTAAGGTTGCTGGTGGTGAACCCTAATCAGTACTCACTCGGTTTTAAGTCTTTGACTCAAAATAGATGCTCGTGTTTACAACTTTTTTGTGGTGATTTTTATCCACGTCATAATTCATTGGTCGTCTTTGGTGCCAAAGATAAGGGTAGGATATAGGATATACGTGTACAAGTTTATACGAGTGATTGAGACCATTGTTTATCTTTTCTTTTTTTTTCCTTTCTTTCTTTTTTTTGTGAATTGAGACCGTTGCTTCTGTGCCTGTTAAAAAAGGAAAAAGGAGTATAAGCACGAAATAGAAATCCACTGATGATAAAAGGCCCACTGAAGTCGGTGCACTTTGTGGCCCATTAAAAGATCCACTGATAATGTTGGTCCATCTAATTTTCAGCCCCTTTGGAACCCAGGATTTTTTGTTTCCGTTGCTACGTTTTTCCTACGAAAAATGAACTAAATCCTGTGGAGGTCCTATGAAATTCCTGCATTCTATACCAGCATTTGCTCTGCTCTTGTAGAACTTCCATTAACTGTTTCAGCATGTTTCGGGTAATTCTCGTGCATCCAAATGGCTTCATTAGCCACTATCAAGCTTGGCACAGCCGCACGACCCATGGAAAAACAGCAACCTTATCAAAAGAAAAAAGAAATGGTTGAAATCTGCCGCGGAGAGCGGACCAACTTGTTTATGCTTGAACTCATCCCAGATGCGTGCCCCTTGGCAGATTCAATCAGTCACGCGCATCACACAGACACGCACAGCGACACTCCTAAGAACTATATACAGAAATTCAATCACACACACATCATACTACAGGGCAGGAACACAGCACAATTGAACTCACATTGTCACACAAAATTTATATACAGCAGATAGATTCATTCATCAGAATTCAATTCCCATGTACAAGAATAGGACACACACGCACCACACTGAAAAATCGCGCAACTGCAGCTCAGCGCGAGACTATATACACTGCAAGAACACTATGTACAGGCAGTAGAATTCATCCGCAAGCAAGTGGGACAAATTAACAATGGAATAGCAGTTCATCTCTTCGTGTTATCAATCATCATAAGTTAGCACTCAGCACATATCAGGATGGCAAAATCATTTTCGATGACGCGCAGTTTGTGTAGTTCAGCTTTCGCCTTGCTTTGCAAGAGTAGAATAGCTTGGGAACCTCAGGAAGGACATAACCCATTTGGTGCTGCTTCAGAATCCCACTGCTCCTCATTTTTCCTTTTAGATTTCCTTCTTTTTTTTAGGGCTTTTTCATGTCTTCCTTCATCGATACATTCTGCGACTAGGACAAACGTAGTAGAACAAAACAGAGTGATACTATTTACAGCGTAGCTAGGACAGGTCTGACGATATTAGTTCTGGAGAGAAGAAAGCCACTGCTCTACAAAATTCTTTCCATCTGCAAATCAAAAGAACGAAGAATATTAGAGGAGAACATAAACCGCACTCGTGTTAGGTTTAGATGGACTTGATGCTGTATATGATAAATATACCAAACAAGGCTACAAAAGAACAAAAAAGTGAAACATTTCAAAAGATTGAAAGGAGGCAACTGAATGTTATTAGTTGGTACAAGTTCAATCACAGAAAGCAGTTTAAGCAGGCAATTGAAGAGCATTAACTTGGTCACAGATTATTGAGTTAGCTTTTTGTTCACTGAAACACCAAAAGTAGACAACACTAAGTCTTAGTGTACCCACCAATTGACTACACAACAAACTTTATAACTAACCAAATTATAGTATTTCAAATCTTCCATAGTACTACAAAGTAAGCCACCAAATCCATGAATCAACAGCACCAATCATGAAAATGGGATATGACTATTAAGCCAATCCACTCCCGCAAATGCAATATAACTACTCCAATCAGCTCATTGCTGAACAAACAACGGCAAATATAAAGCAATCATTGGGGAATAACTCTTGATGCCTTCTTGCATATGACCACCAATTTCTATCAGAAAAAAAGGTAAGAAAGCCAGTCTGCCTGATAAAGACAATAGCTCCTTATCCTATTATACTCTGTGTTATGTCAGCTTAACAAATTGAAATTATTGCCAAAACAAGAATTTGTAACTGAGAAGTGCCGAATTTAGGCAGTTTGTTATGTCAGCTTGTGAAAACAGAAGATTTAACTATTCACAGAAGACAAGAATCAACCAGCTCACATGATTCCTTCCTAATTAATTCTACTATAGACAGATCCGAGTATTGCTAGTACCATACGTGATTTCCTTCCAATCCTGAACATGTACAGAATTGAATCTTTCCATAAATAAGCTATTATAAATACGAAGTGATATATACGTAGCACGATCGCTTCTCGATTTTATTTAATTATTAAAAGGTTTAAAAGAAAGCACATTGAATTCACATACTAGTATGAGGTAAGCATGCTCACCAGGGAGACCACCATCGGTGAGGGCGCCGGCGCCAAGAAACCTGCCCTCGTGCCTCCGGGGCTCCTGCTCTTGGCGGCCGTGGCGGTAGCATGGCACGAGGACGGCGAAGCAGTTCTCGGGGTCGCCGTCCGTCTGCAGCTCCGGCGCCTGTGGCTCAAGCCAGCCGATGGACCAGTCGGAGTCGTCCGAGTCGGAGCCGGACAGGCACCCACCGCCGTCGGACGGGACGATGACCATGTCGTACTCCCGGTCGACACGGGCCTCCCCGCGGCTGCGGCGGCGGTTCCTGACCCTCCTCGGGCGCGCGCGGCGGCCGCCGGCGCCCCCGCCGGTGTAGAACGTGACGGTTTCGGGCTCCCGGAACCCGGAGGGGAAGTCCGGGAAGGAGGAGCTCGTCAGCCCCCCGCTGGGGTGCTCGTGGGTGGCCGCCACCCGCGCCGCCGCGCCACCCGGCCACAGCCATTGCGTGAGGCGGCTCAACGCCATGGACATGGCGGAGAAAAAAAAAAAGGGGAAAACCTTCTCGCGAGAGAAAAAGCCTGGGTGGGAGCCTCTCGATCGGACCAAAAATCGCGGAGAAATCAGGCAAAATTCGGCGTTCCCCTGGATCTGCCGAGTCGTCGAAAACCTAAAGCAACAAGGATATCTCTCAGATTTTTTTTTAAAAAAACGATTCACAAGTAGATCCAACGGAAAGCTTTTTGGGTAGAAGTAGTAAGCAGGAAAATTACTTGTTTAGACGCCAACCACGAAATACCGGGTCCAATTAGGCAAGTTTCTTCTTTCAGAGTTCAAAACTTCACTGGATTGACGAGTAGCACAACGAAAAAATGGCTCGTTTTTGGGGGCAAAAATTCACTAACCCGAAGCGCGAGAGCAACCTATATGAATCAAGTCTTCATGTGGCAAAACTGGGAATCCAAAACCAAAACCATTGCCCCAAAACACAAGCAAAAAAATTCCCCCCTCAATTGGCTCCTCCTTCAAAATCCGGTAACAAAATTGAACACCAACACACAAAACCCACCGCGGATAACAAGTTGCGGCCCAAAAACACACACCCAAGGATCTCCGGTAAAAAGTTGTTGCCTGCTCGATATCGAGGCCCGGCAAACGCGAGTACGATCAAAACCACCACAACCCCTCCTCCAGTCCCGACTCGGCAACTGCTATTCGCTCTCCTCCATGCCCTCTCCTCTCCGCTCAGATCCTCTCCCTCGCACGCGGCCCACTCCGACTCCAACCTCCACGAACTCGAAGGAACGCAACGCAACCACCAATCGATCGATGGGGTTAAGGATTGTGGAGGGAGCGAGCTCCGCGGCCACACGGCCGGATAAATATAACCCTGGGCGAGAGATCCCAGCCGTCCATGTGGCGCGGGCCCACACAAACAGGCCAATCATCCTGCCGCGAGCGTGCTGACGTGTCGCTCCCGCGGGGCGCGGCCAGCGTGCGGGGCAAGCCCTTGCTCGCTCGATTTCGTGCGCTGCCGTGCCGGGGCACTTCTTCACACTTGTCACCAGGCAGGCAGGCTTGCCCATTTCGTTTCAGTTCTGGGCTTGTTGGTTTCGTTCGTTGCTGGTTTCGCGTCCATGCGGGTGCCGTCACGCGACTGCATCTGGATGGGTTTCATGTCGCCGTCGGGGGCAAGTTCGGTGAATCTATTTCTAATAATTACAGTAATATACTCGGAGCAATGTATGTAGCTATACTACTGGTGGTGGTGTTTATTTACGTTTACCATCACGTTTGTAAAAACACGGAGGTGATTTGGTCACACCTTCCTGGCTGCTCTGCCGATGGAACTTGCTAAGAAGGCTTCAAATGCCACGTTTACTTGGCTGATAAGCTATGGCTGAAAGTATTATTGGTTGATTTATTATGAAAGAAAAATATTGTTTGTTGACTGAAAAAATACGGCTTATAAACCAAGAAAAAGAACGAAAGTTCAAACGAAGATGCAGATAGTAGTGGCTCGGCCGGAGTTAGCAGCAAAACAACGGTGCTGCATTGTAGGGTACATTTTTTGTGAGATTAGTGATCAAAATAAGCAAATTACTAGGAGTAGTACTGAAATTTTGATTCACCGCATGCCTCCATCTCTGTGTTTCTGTTGCAATGTAGGAGTACCTTGTTGTCGCCGTTGCTGGACCTAAACCAAACAACACCTGTATACCTGTGACCTGAGATCGTGCAATTTGCTAGGGGGCTATTTGGATCTCTTTATTTGGGAGGAATTAAAATCTACGTAATGAATTAGGCTATTTGGTTTGGAATTTGACGTTCCATTATCTTCCCAAACTCATAAATAAGGCTATCTCAAGTTCATAGGATAGGAGATGGAAATGGATTTTAATTATCACAATACTATAATTCTATTCTCCAACTTATAGCACACTCTTCAACTCACTTCCCTATAATAGAAATACAACATATAAGTATGTCCCTTATATGCTTAACAATAAATATACAAATATATTTCATATATAATTATATTAGCTTGATTAATCTATGCTCAAATTCTAATTATTAGAATGAATTCAATTCCAAGAATCCAAACGGGCAGAAAAATGTGTGGAAGCAGATATTAATTTGAATATACTATGTCCATTTATATGCCAAAGATGTATAACAACTTTTACCAAAATTTATAAGAAAATACATTAATAACTTATAACTGCGAATAAATGTACTATGAACACATGTTTCAATAGCGGTGGATCAACAACGTATGTCATTGCTTCACAAATTGTAATATCCGATAATTATACTATTGAACATGTTTCAAATGGCAACATTACTGAAACCGTGGATTCACACTTGTAATTTTTTTTTTTTTGTGGATTCCATCAACCTAGTATGTTGGGTAAATGTTAGTTCATTGTTCTATAAACATGGTCATGGAAATTTGACTTTGGTGAAACTAAAGCCCCCGTTTGGTAGATACATTGAGGGCATTCAGCTCCAAGTAATCCGAAATTTAGGTCTAGAGATACATTAAGGGCATGTCTAGCTCTAAGAAATCTTGAGGGCTGGTTTGCAATGCAAAAATTTCACGAGAATCAGTTTATTTTTATAGGAAAAACGTACGAACAAAAAAAAATTCCACGCGTTCCAAACCGACCTTGGATCTGGAGCTAGACATATGTTGTGGCATTTAAAATTATTCATTGTTTATATTTGTACTACATATAAATAAATATTTAAATTACCTTAACTTAATTAAATACTATATATCCAACTTGGATCTTACAGCCGGAATAGTACCAATCGGGCCTTAAAACGATCTACACTTTAGTTAGAGCTGAGTATTTGGTTGGTAGTACACATAGCATCAAGTTGGTTCATAGAATACAAACCATATATTATGTTTCTCGAAAAACAAACTTATGTATTCTTTGGGTGGAATAGCCAAATTAGTCCCTCATCTTTCATCTCAGGCTCAATTTAGTCCCTCAACTTTCAAATTGGCCAAAGCAATCCCTCATCTTTATATTTTTGTCCAAATTCGTCCTTGTGCTGTCGTGGCACTCCACAGTGGCAGCGCTAGTGAGCAAATGTGCTGGTACCGGCTTTCGTAAATGGGCGAGTGTTGGCAGTTGGCATTGCTAAGAATTACTCTATACTTTCGTACTCAAGTTCATTACATTTTGATTTAAAAAACATTATGATGGGATAGGATTGAGCATGGAGGATGTAGCGACAAAAGAAAAACATACTCCGATCCCTCCGTCATAAAATAAGTGTCATTCTCGCTGGTTTGAAGATATAAATATTGTTAATATTTACTAAACTTGTTTGGAGATACAAATGTTGTTAATATATACAAGAAAGTACATAATTAGTATCATTAGATATATGGTTGAATCTATTTTCATAATAAACTTGTTTGGAGATATAAATGTTGCTACTACAAATCTAATCAAACTTAAGAAAGTTTGACTGTACGAATATCATAGCGATATTTATTTTAGGACGGAGGGAGTATACTATTGATCCAATGAAAATTTGAATAACTACTTTAGTATCCCTTTCATGGTAGAACCAATGGAATTTCATGTGAAATTAGCTTTAATACATTGCGTGGCTGCTTTGCTGACTAGAACTTCCAACATGGAGCACCGCATCAGCATAAAGACGAAATTGAACCAAAATTGACAGCCGAGGGAATAGTTTGGCCATTTTGAGAATTGAATGACTAAATTAAACTTGAGACAGAAAGATGAGGGATCAATTTGGCTACTCCGCCTATTCTTTGTTTCAAAACACGTCTCATGTTGTTCAACGAAGCAAGTATTACCTTCCTGTGGTAGCACCTCTCGTTATGGCTCCTTTTAGAACATACGAGTTTTTTTATAATTTTTTCCTGTGAAAAATGAATGGATTTTGTTAAAATTTTGTATTCCTAGAGAGCCCTGCTCCATTTTATCAGCATATTCGGTTGGCTGGTTTGTTTCATTGCTGGTTCGTAAAGAAGTACTGCTGGCTAATTTGTATGGGAGAAAAATATTATTCTAACTATACGATCGTTTACGACGAGCCGCGGTCAAATAGGCTGTGTATTTCCGGTGACAGTAGCTTCTTGACTTCGAACTCCAAAGATTCTCAGAATTGACGAGACGTCCTCTAGAATCTTCGGGCGTGTGGCGAAGAGGCTCTCTTGGGATAAGCAGCAGCAAATGGGTATGGGTCATTATGTTGTGGGCCCGTAGCTACCTGGCCGCCACTTGTCGCGTCCATGTGGAGTCAAATCTGCATTCGTGCTCTTTAATTAAAAAAAAATCTGCAGTCGTGCGTCAGATGCCAGACAACCTTATGTGGTCGTGGGGGCGAGGCCAATCGCCGGGTTGTGCCGCGTCGGGCCGACCGTTCGGCAGACCGCAGCGTACGTGACAGAAATATCTCATCCATCGGATGAGCTTGTCGCAAATTGGCAGTATAACCAACACGGCTGGAAATCAGACTGTGTGCCAAATTAAATTAAGAATGGATGGAGTGCTAATCACACTGAGGTGCCCGTGCGCTGTGCGCATGCGTCGGGCCAGACCCGGCACTGCATTTGGTGGCGTGTGGTGGACGTGTGTGTGTTTGGAACGAGAAGTTCCGACTGATCTTTCTTCTGCTCCTTCCTTCTATCCTTGATCGAGTACTTATCATCTTCTTACTAGTACATGCCTAAAAATCGATACTTATCTTCTTGCCACTAGTACATGGTCAGTAGCACGACACAGCAACATGTCAAGTCAAACAAATTGTTGGTAACTAGATTTTTTTATGGTAGAACATGGCTAGGCTATCTACGTGAGCACGGTTTTTTTTTTTTTGCGAAATATCCTTTCGGTGGTAGGGGGCTAGGTGTCCCATCATTTGATGAAGATAAACATCCTGATTTGAGTCCAGGCTTCCGAAATCAAAGTTGATTTTTTAAGTTAAAAAAAAGGCTTCCGAAGCAGAACGTCTAGTCATTGATGATGGTGGTGGCGAGGTCT